CCAGACCTGGAGAAACGATATTATGTTGTGATCGATTATTCTTGAGGCAATTCACAAAGTTAGGTTTTGTGAAAACAACCAATATGGTTATTTGAATTTTTAAAATTAAATTTCACGGACTTATAGACTTTATAAACTGAGGTGATAATTTTAATTTTTTTAATTAATAAATTAATAAATATATGTTAATAATTAATAAATATATGTATCAAGGATGAAATATATTTTCTAGGATGAGATGTGAAAATGTAAAAATTCTTTGAAACTCTTGAAAAATAGATTTTATAATTTCTTATTGTATATATGAATTTATTTTTATTTGATACAATTGAATTCATGAAACATAAAAATAAGAAATTAATTTTTTGCAAACTAAAGAGATGATCTGATGCTGTTATTATTATCTTATGAATCTGACACGAGTTTGGCAAAGTTTTGATATCTAACAATTAAGTATATTAACTTTAATACATTAAGATCAAACATCCAATTATCCTCATCCCATGTAATTAATCAATTTCTCTATTTGTTTGTGTCATTTACACTAGACAAAGATTACTACAGTGTACGTATATCCAGGCATTCAAGTCAATTACAAACGTAATATCACATCCATCAAGAGAAAGAAATAAAACGACTTTTACCTCATTCGCGCAATCATTCTCGAACCCGTTGTTTAACCTCACCCACGTTCCCAACGTAACTCCACCAATCATTTACAATTTCACACTCGCGAGAATTATTACAGGTAACCTATAAAGCGATTTATAACAAGAAACAATATTATTTTCCATCAGCAATAACTATTTGTAATTGAAAACTGTAAACCAATCATTTTCACTAGGACCATATCTAGAAACCACATCGATCGATAATGATGCAATAATGGAAGATAATGTTATTTAGATTTGTAGTATACAATTTTATGCTATTCGATAAGAGTATTCTAACTCTGCTAAGCTATTGGCTATATAAAGAGAGTAAAATGGTAAATTTTGACAAAATGAAAATTGAATTAAAAATATAATCGTTTCTAATTTTAAACGTCGAGTAGACAATGACAGAACAATAATTTCGACGTTTTGGTTATACACTACAATAAACTGATTTATCATTAATACACTGATCCAATATTTCTAACAATGCAACAATCCCATTAAAACGATCTTCAAATAATATAATACCGTAATACCAAATTTTCAATTACATCATCTTAATGGAACAACAAGCTTAATGGAATCAGCGCAAATATCGATACATCTTACATGTTTAAACTTCATCATACGCGAAACAAAGCAAACCCCGTTTTCCATCTCCACGTTCTCGCTGTTTAAATAAAGATCATAAATAAATAAAAAGAAAAGGTTGTAATAAAAACGAGTAAAATGTAATTTATCAGGGCCAATTATACACGTTCTCCCCATGTAGACAACGCTGTTACGAAAGTGATCAATTCGGCGTTGAGGCGGACCGACACTGCGTCGCGATTTATCGATCCGGATCCAGGACCGATCTCCGGCCTTCGTTAACTCATATTTATACCGGTGATATTTAATTGATCGCGAGGATCGTTCAATGCCATTGTGCTCGCCTCTCAATGGAACGCCACGATCCAGATAAGCCCACGCGGCTTCCCCGTCTATTAAATGGTTACCCGGAGCTCGAAACAATGATGGAAATGGCCGACCGGCCGAAGAACTAGTCGAGTTATTAATCACACACTGGACGGTGATTATTTCTCCTCGAGATAGATACGAGGAACGTTGCGAAGGTACTCTGGTATCGATGGTGGATGGGAAGCTGAGCGTGATACAGAACGGGGATACATAATGCGATTACGAAAATAGAGTGTATCGAATGGGATCTATACGTGTAAATAAAGTAACGTGTCAACTCGATACTTTTGTTAGCTAGTTTGAGAATTAATTGATAATTGTGCATCGTGTATTTGTTGAAAATGGTTAGAATTAGAATATAAGGAGTGAAGATTAACAATGGACATAAACTTGAATCATAAACTCAACTTGAATCATCGTCAACTCTATTATACTTTCTATTCTATGTACGAAATTGAGTAGTTAATATTCGGAATACCATGGAGAGAGAAAGAATTTCTTTATAACTTGGAAAGTAGGAATGCGTAAAAATTAAATATTGAAGATACAGTATCATCATTTGATAATATCTTCCTTCAATAAAATCATCCTGTTTTTATACCACTCATCGAGCTCGACCAATTTAACCTATATTACGTTCTCGTTCGGTTCAAAAGCATACCATAACCTCTCTCGGTTATCATAAGCACACGGAGTGGATCGTCCAAACGGATATTCGAAACCGGTAGACTCGAAAATCAACTGGTCTGCACGTGAATGTGACATTTAAATAATCGTTTCGCACATGTAGAGGACCGATCGGGCCCCGTAATCATCGTATCTCGGTTTTAAACAATCTCTCTCTCAAATGCACGTACCAAGAGGATGCAATCAATCCTCGTTTATACGCACGCTTCACCAGCTGGAATCCCAGCTTCGTTTTTTAAGAAAGCTGTAATAAATTATTCCAGACTCGAACGTGTCCCATACAGCATCACACACGTTTTCAACCCATCCTCTCGACCAGCATCGCGAGCGAACCAAGCTTTACAATACCGAGCCGCGAACCCGCAATAATAACTGTTTTACCCACGCAGCGGAATTAGAATATATCCGGTCGATAATTTATGGCGGAATTATGCGCGTTATTATATGCGCCGAGAAGACAAGGGAACAGGCAAGTGACAAACGGATATATTCTCATTTATCGTCGATCGAACATGCACCGTTTTCTCTCTCGATGATGTATATATATATACATATATATACAAGTCGAGAAATCGTGTTCAGTCGAATAAAAGCGTTTAAAAAGTAGGCTTTTCGAATTGACATTTTCCACGCGAATTTTTCTTTCAACGATGAATGTGACGTAATAAAGAAGAACTAATGTCTAATTTTCGAAATTGGATGGATAATCTTATTTTTATTTCTGGATTTTTACGTGTTGTATCCATGTAGAACGATAATTTCGAGTTTTTTTCTTTTCGAGCAAAGTTAGGTTATCCACATATATATATATAT